AATGCTGGCTTCACAATTTATTTATTAATGGTATGGTGTTAGTCAAATCACTTAACCATTTTCTCAATTTCTGAATGGGCAAAACTATGATGATAATGATATACTGTTCATAGAATTGTTACAAAATTAAATAATTAATGTCAAACATATGAATTTAATTGATTAAAAGATGACAATAAATATACATTTAATTAAGCATTTGTATCAGAGTTTGGTAGATATCAGTTATGAAATATTAAATGTGATTATAGTTCAATTTTCACCCTAGAGAAATTTGTTGTCCTGCCTCCACAGAAGTTTCACAGGGTATTTTCTCACAAACTGTCATTGATCAGACATGTGGTTGATGGACCTTCAAGGTCTCCAGGATAATTTGAGGGATATAAACCCAGGGTCCTTTACTTATGCCTTTTGTTTATGACTCGGGTTTGAACTCAGGGCCTAATGCTTGCTAGGCAGGTGCTCTTATTGCTTGAGCCACTCCACCTATGACTTTTACTCACAGAATGAGGAAGTCAGTTTGTTTCCTACTTAGTTAATACACTTCACTAGCATGACACAGGATGTGTAACACATCTCAATATATTTATATATCAATCTAACCTTTGTGTTAGAAAACAAAGAGTCATGGGTCATTTTAACACTGAATGCATAACAAAAGCTAGAAAATATCTCTTTACCTCCTTTATTTTCTTCTTTCCTTCCTTCCTTCTTTCCTTCCTTCCTTCCTTCCTTCTATTTTGTTATAACAGTATAAAGTATAGACAAATGGGGGAGGGGGCGAGAAAGAGAGAGAGAAACATTTCCTGTTCCCCACATAGGAAATGAAAGCAAAGACTTGAGTTTCTTTCCTCTTATATGAATTCCTGGCCATCTCAGTTCCCCTCTTGGCAACTGGAATTTAGGACAATTTATTCTTAAAATACTATGGGACCAAATGAATTGAAAATCAGAAGTCCAGCACACTAGATCAGTACAGAATGAATGGACCGCAGAGAGGATCTACTCCAATTAGAGATCGGCATAAGATCCCATGTTACTAGTTGAATTTGACAAGGACATTTAAGCTGTCTCTCTAGTTCTAACTGTTAATGGTAGACTGTGATCAGAAGATTTCCACATTCTTTTTTCCCACGTGGAAAAATCCATGACAGGTCATGTGGGTGTAAATGGGGTTTACTAAAAGTTAGGGAGGGGAAATACAAAAAGGGTCATGGTGGGACCAGGTAGAAACTCCAAACAAAGACATTGTCTTTCTGTTTTCCAGGTGATTTTGATACCTATGATAATCTATGTAAAGGGAAGAACCTGGTGATTCCCAACCATTAATCAATGAGTGGGGAAGGGCATACGTGGACCCTGGGCTAAGTGAGGGTAAATTGAGTTGTCCCTGAGCTGGGGTGTGAGTAACCCACACACATTTGCAATTGAAAAGAAGTATCAGAGAAAGAGGAATGTCCAACCTGAAATATAATATTAAGTTATATATTTTCTAAGAGTCCAGAACTTTTCCTGATTTTAGCCTGTCTCATGACCACATCATATCTATGATTACTATCACATCCTATATTCAAGTATTAGTGGAATAGCAATTAAGAGAACACTAAAAAGATACTTATGTCACAAAAGATAACTATTTCAAGAGCAATTATCAAAAGTATACATCACCATTTTAAATATTGAGGCCATCACTAAAACCAAAAGAGAACAGAACCAAACACTTGAGCTACGATAGCATAATGACAAAAACAAGCAAGGGCAAAGTTACTCTCAAAATGCTTGCCAATCATAAGAAAAGACACAGACTTAGGAGTTCTTTATTGGCTCTGAAAAAAGTAAAAATACTTTAAGATACTTCCTTTGAAGCAGTAAGTTTTATATTAAATCTTGAAAAGAAATACAATAAAGCCTTGTCTTAGTTTTAAAAGTCATTGAGGTGTTTTTTGGGGGAAGGGTTCTCACTATGTAATTCAGGCAAGCCTCTTAACTCACTATGTAGCTCAGTCTGTCCTGGAATATGTGATCCTTCTTCCTTAGCCTCCCTATTGCTGGCATTAGAGGTGTGTGTCTCTATGTCTTCTTCATTGAGAACTTTTAAAACAAATACTGTAATATCATTTTATAAATAGATTTTTTGGATGAAGAGTGGAACAAATTGAGAAGTGACCAGAAGCAATGGCATGTAAAACTAATTTTTTCTTTGTCACATTTTCTACAAAGAAGTTTCACAAGCAGTCAGCTATACCTAAGATGGGTGATCACTTTGCTGACTCTTCTTTCAGCTTTAAGATAAGCAGGGCAAGGCACTTCTTTAATAAGAAGTAGTGAATTTGCAGTAGGGAGAGAAATAGGGAAAAAAGGGACTTTGATGCCAGGCTCTGGTTTGGTGCTGAAAAGTCAGAGCTCAAAGTTCATCCAGTCTGAGACAAATCTCCATCCTTGCTTTGCATGTTGTACACTTTTTTGAATAATGATTGTTGGGTATTTCTCATTTCTCTATATTTATCTTGATTTCTTTTTAGACTGCATTAGAGATCAAGTTAGAAATAATTTAAGCCCAGTAAAGAATACAGAACAGAAAAGACTAACTAAAGAAGAAAATTTCAATAAAGAATTTAAATGACTCAATATGACTATACTACGTACAGTTTTGATTAAGGTAATGGCTCTTAGGTGGGAAAACATCGTATCATAAAATTAGGTTCAATCTTGAGTTGTTAGTTTCATCCTTTACGAAGAATTTTTAACTCTAGTGTTAGGTTGCCTTTCTATGGCTATCACAATGAAAGACTGAATGCCAGAAGTGACTGAGAGGGTAATCCTGACAGTGAAGGGATCAGAATAGGACTCAGATATCCCTTCACTCAAATTTTTTTAGGTTGGTACTTACATGACCTGTCTGTCTGGACTTAATTTATTAATGTCACATTTTTCCTATTTCTAAAACTTAGAACCTACAATTTTATTTTCAAACACATGTGAATTTTCATATTGTATAGCCTGTGACATTTATTTAGCTATAATTCTAGTGGTGTGGTGTATATAATATAGATTTGTAGTGTATAATTATATGATGATATATAATCAGTGTATATACTAGGATTCTAAAAAGGTGCAAAACAAGCATAGAAAAAATATGCAGCAGTCAGTACCCTAGTCACCTAACAATATGCTATTGATTAAAATGAAATAAAAAGAATTTAACTTAGAGACTTGGTCTGATTAACAGAATAGAGGATGACAGAGTAGGTTTATAATATTCAGAGAGTCATATAAATAGTTTTACTATTTTTTACATTAACATTAATTCAATAGTTAATATCTCAGAAACCATTAAACACATTCATAAATTAAACTGTATTTACTTATAATATGAAATAAAATTAAGATAATTTATTTTTAACTCTATCAAATCCAATAACTTTTGCAACAATTGTAATATACAACTAGGACAGGTTCAACATACTGATAGAGACTATTGTATCAATGTAGTAACCAATATATTAATTTCTTTATGATAGGTAAATATATGTCTATTTATCATATATCTATCCTTCCATTTACCTACCTACCCATCTACTTATATACATCCACCCACCCATCTACACATCCATCTTTCTGCTCATACATTCATCTAATGATTGATTATTCTATTTGACTCCTTAAAATATTTCTATCAGTCATCTTTATGTCTATATATTTTCATCTATACTCAGGGCAGGACAATATTACAAAAAATAACATGCAAACTTTGACAATACCAGGCAATTGGCTAATTATCCATGGTTACAATAGTTAGGTTTTATGAGTTAAGCATTTCTCATATACATAGCTCTCAAAACAATAATGATCAAAATTCTCTTGAAGACAATCTGGCCCTAGTTCAATAGAAAAAGGGAGAAAGAGAAAGAGAAGAAAAAGAGAAAGACAAGGTAACTTTGTGTGAACTTTGGAAAGTAACATTATTCCTTGGTTTTCAATTTCATGAACTATAAAATAAGTAGACTTGAGTAGTTGGTTATTATTTTCTAAAAATTTCAGCTATTAGTTATATCAAAACATTGAGGGACCACTGTTTCACTGTTCACAGGGTCCATAAGTCAAACACTGTGTTTAGCCAGAAGGAGAATGGCTAGACTTTCTAGGACCTAGCTTTTTATAAGGTGACTTTGAATTACAAAAATGACACTGTAAACATGGTATCAAAATTACTCATCACTGCTTAAAAAATAAATAAATAACCATGTTTGTTAGAGAAAAACCTAATGCTCTCTCTAAATAGGACGGCCTTAGAAAAGCTACCATATCCTTGGGTCTTAGTTTCATCTTTTGTAGAAAAGAACAATGGATGGGATTTGTTGTATGCTAGGATCTTTTAACTCTTTAATATATATAAGACAAAAAGAATTTTCCTGGAGTTTTATTGTACTGTTTTAAAGCTAATGAATCCACTCTAGGGAGTGTAGGGACTGAATACCGATAAGATATATTCTCACTCTTGTTGAACATGAGTTATAAACAAAATAAATAGCAAACAATTTTACTCACCCAAAACTCCCTATTTCTTTCTGATTTGAATCAAAAAGTTGTTCATCAACATTCTGTCAGCTATGAAAATCCTACTGTTACTTGGATTTGCAGGGTTCTATACCAGGTATTGGTATTTTCACAAGTACCTATTTTCTTAGACTATTAAAAAAGGCTGGGAGAGAATGTAGTCTTTCTTAACACATGTGAATGTCTCAAGGAAATTAATGATCAAGTACTTAAATCTGACAAAAGTTGAATATTCTAAAACATAGTTCCTTGCACATTGAAATGTTGACTGAGTTTGTTAACACTGTTTAGTAAATGTTACGTGAATGTTACCAGAATTCAGTGATGGCTGAGGATGATTACATAAAAAGTTCTGCCATGAACTAATTGATTTCTTGAATGGTTTCACATTTGATTGTTGACCAATTGAATAAGGAGGATAAATTCTGAATAAATGTTTCATTTCAAGAGGTATGATCAAGTTTTCTAGACTTAAAGATATGGTTTCTGAGTTTCCTCATGGAATTCTTAACATTTTTATTTCTAAAAGTATAGATCACTGGATTTAAGAGGGGAGTGAATATAGTATAAAATACAGAGAGAACTTTGTCTACTGGGAAATTTGTGAAAGGCCATATGTAGATGAAAATGCATGGACCAAAAAAAAGGGTTACAACAGTGAAGTGGGCACTGCAAGTGGAAAGGGCTTTGGTGGACGCCCCAGAGGAATGCTGCCGAATGGTGACTAGAATGACAGTATAGGAGATCACTAAGAGGATGAAGCACACCAGGGCAATCATGCCACTTGTGGAGATCATGAACACCCCCAGAATGTAGGTGTCTACACAGGCAAGTTTAATTACTAAAGGAAGGTCACAAAAGAAGCTGTTTACTTCATTGGGTCCACAGAAGGGCAGATTCACTGTAAATGCTAACTGACTCAGAGCATGGAAGATGCCCACAATCCAAGAAAGTATCACAAAACCAACGCACATTCTCTGGTTCATGATGGTTAAATAATGTAGAGGCTTACATATAGCCACACACCTATCAAAAGACATGGAGATCAGTAGTACAATCTCAGCACCTCCCAAGAGATGTAGGAAGAATATCTGGGTTATACAACCTTCAAAAGAGATAGCTCTGTGCTTTCTAAAGAAGTCTGCAATCATTTTGGGTGTGGCAAATGAGGCCAGAGACATGTCAATGAAGGAGAGATTGCCCAGAAGAAAGTACATGGGGGAGTGAAGGCATGGCTCCAACATGACGGTGAGCACAATAAGGAGGTTCCCCAGCACAGTGGCTGCATAGACTGTGGAGAAAAACAGGAATTAGAAGATCTGGAGTTCTGATGATCCAGACAGACCACATAGTATGAATTCAGTCACCACTGACTGATTGCTCCAGGCCATTCACTTTAATTTCTGGAAGAACTTTGACATTTCCACATGAGAGAGCAACTAGGAAAAAATACAGCAAGGAAACTCAAAGTGAGATTTTTTTTTTTTTGCATAGAATGATTTTGTGGCAGTCTACTACCTTGGTATACCCTTGTCCAAATCAAACTGGCCAAATATTTTTCCCAATGGCTTATCCAGATAATTTAATTGATTCAAATAAACATTAGACCTTATAACTTAGAAATTTGTCTTACAAATAAAAACTAATGCCAGCATGTTTGCCTTTTCTATAATATCATGACAGGTGGGAGGCTAGCATGAAGAATGCTTGAGAATCATGCCTGATTATTAGTTGAAACACTAGTGGAAAGGATCATAGGTTCTGGTACTTTGCAGTGGCCAGGGAAAATAAATAGAACACAAGGGGAGAGAAAATTTCTACAGAGAAACATAATCAGTTTCAATTTTTCTGGTAAAGATTGTCCAGAACCAAAATGAAATGGCTTTTAATTCTTTTAGTTTTCACTTCAGATGTATAGCTATTATGAATGACACTTGTTCTGACACCAATGTCATAGTTTTGTTTTAACAGTTGACAAGCATGTTTTCCTTAAAGTCTGTGGAATTATATATTTCCAAATTTACTTTAAATAGAAAGACTATGTTAAATGCCATACTGTATGAAGCCAGCACTTTTTAACTGCTGGAATTGATTGACTTTCACAAAAGCAATTCAAAACAGAAAACTCTTCCTGTTTGGGGAGTTCACAAAGAACAAAAATGAGACAGGTTTATGCAGAGACAAACAATGGTAATTAGCTATGTACCATTACAAGCTTCAAAAGTTATCATGAGAGTGGTTAGGGAAACTCTCTCACTGAGATATAAGAATATTTTACAAAGAGCTCTGGGAATCAGTTGTACTGATGAGCACCTAAATTTCAAACAAAACCCCTTTCATCTTGCCACAAAACCAAGCTTTTTCTTTTTCTTTCTCAAAACTCCACTGTACATATATATTCTAAACAAATTATTCTAAGACTAAACCCAGTTTTCATGTGCAAATGCCTTTTACTCTTTGATTTCTTGTTCTGGAATTTTTTGCCCTTTCTTTAACTCTGCATGGTTCTTCTCCTGGCTTTACCATTCCCAGGAATTTTAGATGTCTCCTGTACCCACCTACCTGTTATTTAAAGAGCTGTCTCCATCATAAGTCACTCTGGATTAGGTAGCAGAAATAGTACTGGCCTGGGAATCTGAAAATGTGCTTCAAAGCAACTAGTTGCAACTAGGTAATTTGCTGAGTCAATCAAGGCCCCAGATTCTTCATACAAATTAGGAAGGTTTATTTAAATGATTTTAAGATAACATCTCACACATAAAATATTTTAAGCTCAACTAGTTCTTGAAAGCAGAGACAGCTACTCCAGAGTCAACTTGGATGAATACTGTGCCTAATTTGGGGAAAGAAGGTTAAGTCTTTGGAACCTTTGTATTTATAATGTCTATATGAATATAAATTAATTGTGTCATAAGTATGACTTTAAAAAGTCCAGCTGTTGCTTGAGGGGAATAAACAAATGTTAAACTTGCAGTGGGAGTTATTAAAACATTTAAGTTTCTTCAGTCATAGTTAAAAGTGGATTGCAGAATGCGTGATTGCTCTTAAGAGATTTACGTACAGGGCACGGCTTTTATGAGGTAGAGATGCAAGGCATAATCTTAATTTGAAATATAGCAAAGCTTTGCAAGGCTACAAATGCTATCTTCCTCTTTCTCCACTAATACATGAGAATAAGGCACCATCTCCCTATCTGGAGAAAAATTCATACAATGAATAATTTACATTACCACCAACTGTAGATAAAGGTTCCATTTCCCCTGCACACTTGCCAGCATTTTGGTTATTTGTATTCATGATGTTAGCCATTGTGACTGGAGTGGGGTGAAATCACAATTTGTTGATTTGCATTTCCTTTATGGCCACAGATGTCAATCATTTCTTCATATATTTAGTGGCCATTTGGACTTCTTCCGAGAATTGTCCAGTTCACTTTCCCACTTATTAATGGAGTTGTTGATTCTTTAGGAGATTAGGTGTTAAAACTCCCTCGATATTCTGGTTACTTACTCTTGACAGATATATAGCTGGTAAAAGTTTTTGACATAGTGTAGGCTGTCTCTTTAGTCTAGTGACTGTTTCCTTTGCTGTGCAGATGCTTTTTACTTTAATGTAATGCCATTTGTCAATCATTTCTCTTATTTGCCGAGTTATTGCAGTTCTATGAAGGAAGTTTTTCTTGTATGTTCCATATTCTTTCTTGTAATGGTTTCTAAGCTTCAGGCATTACGTTAAGATCTTTGATCCACTTTGAATTAATACTAGTACAAAGTGATAGACTGAGATTTAATTTCAGTCTCCTACATGTGAATATCCAGTTTTTCCCAGCACTATTCATTGAAGAGGCTATCTTTTCTCCAACATATGTTTTGAGCTCCTTTGTCAAAAATCAAATGACTACAACGGCATGAGTTGGTGTCTGCATCTTCTAGTCTTTTCCACTGGTCTTCATCTCTGTTTTTGTGCCAGTACCTTGCTGTTTTTATTATTATGACTCTGTAGTATAGTTTGAAGTCAGGCATTGTGGTAGTTCCAGCTTTGTTCTTTTTGCTCAGTATTGCCTTGGATTGTCAAGGTCTTTTGCACTTCCATATGAAATTTAAGGTTGATTTTTCAGTCTCTGTGAAGAATGTTATTGGAATTTTGATGTGGATTGCATTGAACATGTAGATAGCTTTCAGAAGTACAGCCATTTTCATGATATTGATTCTGTGACCATGGCAGATTCTTAAATTTTCTGATGTCTTCTTTGATTTCTTTCTTTAGTGATTTCAGTGTGGAGGTCTTTCATTTCCTTCATTAAGTTTATTTGTAGGTATTTTTGATGCTACTATGAATGAAATTATTTTCCTGACTTCTTTCTTTTTTTATTTGGGCCACCTTCCCCCCTCACATCCCCTCCACCCCTGGCTCCAGGCAGGACCTGTTCCACCCTCTTGTTCTCAGTTTTTGTTGAAGAGAAAACATGAGAGATAATAAGAAAGACATAACATTTTGGCTACTTTGAGATAAAGATATCTATACAGAGAGATTCCTAGTCTTTCTTCCATGCACATGTGTATTACAACCTACATCAGTTCATCTCTACCAGACTGCTTTAACTACCTCCTACTCCTCTTTCCACAGTGGCTTCTGCCAGTTTAAGATTACTATATTCACTCCTCTACATTGAGCACATCAATTACATTCAAGTTTTAGGTTTCTTTCCCTTTCTCTATTCCTACTGTGAGTATTCTTTCCTTAGTGTGTGACCCATGTCCCATAATATTACTGCATTTGTTTTAGGTCTATAATCCACATATGAGGGACAACATGTGATTTTTTGTCTTCTGAGCCTGGCTAACTTCGATTAAGATGATGTTCTCCAGTTCCATCCATTTACTTGTAAATGACAAAATTTCATTCTTCTTTGTAGCTCAATAAAATTCCATTGTGTATAAATACCACATTTTCTTAATCAATTTTTCAGTACAGGGGCATCTTGGCTGTTTCCATAGCTTGGCTATGGTAAATAGTGCTGCAATAAACATGGTTGTACATGTGCCTTGTAATAACCTTAGTCACATTCCTTCAGCTATATTCGTAAGAATGGGATTGCTGGATCATAAGGCAGATCTATGTTTAGTTTTTCAAGAAGCCTTCATATTGTTTTCTAAAGTGGTTTTACTAGCTCACATTCCCACCAGCAGTGTATAGGGTTCCTTTTTCCCGATATCCTCTCCAACATTTGTCGTTGGTGGTGTTCTTGATGATATTGTAACAGGAGTGATGTAGAATCTTAGTGTGATTTTGATTTGCTTTTCCTTTATGGCCAGGATGGTGAACATTTTTTCACATGTTTTTTGGCCATTTGGACTTTGTCTTTTGAAAAAGTTCTGTTTAGTTCAGTTGCTCACTTTTTTATTGGTTCATTGATTTTTGGGGAGTTTAGTTTTTTGAGTTCCCGTATATTCTGGTTCCCAGTCCTGTGTCTGATGTATAGCTAGCAAATATTTTCTCCCACTCTGTGGGTGGTCTCTTTAATTGAGAGACCATTTCTTTTGTATGCAGAAGTTTTTAATTTCATGTAGTCCCATTTGTCCATCTTTTCTGTTAGTTGTTGAGTTACTTGTGATCTACTGAAGAAGTCCTTGCTTATATGTATTGGTTCCAGGGTATTCCCTGCTCTTTCCTGTATTAACTGCAAGTTTTCAGGTTTGCTTTTAAGGTTCTTAATCCACTTTGAGTTGATACCAATACCAGGTGATAGGCATGGATATAGTTCAGTTTTCTGCGGGCAGATAAATACTTTTCCCAGCAATATTTATTGAGGAGACTGTCTTTTCTCCATTGTGTGTTTTTGGCATCTTTGTCAAAAATAAGGTGGGCATAGCTGTGTGGATTCACATCTGTGTTCTCTATTCTGTTCCACTGGTCTTCACATCTGTTTGTGTGCCAGTTCCATGCTGTGCTTTTTTTTTTGTTATGACTCTGTAGTATAGTTTGAAGTTGGGTATTGCAATACCTCCAGCTTTGCTCTTTTTACTGAGTATTGCCTTGGCTTTTCATGGTTTTTTGTGTCTCCAAATGAACTTTAGGATAGATTTTCCAGTCTCTGTGATGTATGTCATTGGGATTTTGATGGGAATTGCGTTGAACATGTAGATTGATTTTGGTAGGATAGCCATTTTTACTATGTTGATTCTGCCAATCCATGAGCATGGAGAACTTTCCACCTTCTGTAGTATTCTTTGATCTCTTTCTTCAGTGGTTTGTAGTTCTCATTATAGAAGTCATTTACATCCACTGTTAAGTTTATTCCTAGGTATTTGATTTTTTTTGAGGCTATTGTAAATGGAATTGTTTTCCTATATTCTTTCTCAATGTGTTCATTGTTGGCTGATTTTTGTAAGTTGATTTTATATCCTTCTACTTTGCTGAG